GACCCTGTCCAAGAAGAATTATTCATACTTTTACTACTACATTGCAGTATTTAGGTGATTAAAAATGTTGAATAGTATGTTAAGAATATTTTATTAAAATGAGGCATGTGGTGTAATTTCCAATTTGAATAATTTTACTTGCTTCATATAATTTGTGGTCGGTAACTTTTTTTGCCCAACATCCTCTGAATTATCAAAATGTGATGACTAAATGTTTGAATAATTTCTTGACATGGTCAACAATATTTTTGACATAATTCAATCCAAGTTAAAACATTTTCTCAATTTTAATTTCTATCTTATCTAATTGTTTTCTAAATTTAGGGTTGACTATCTCGATTATTTTTCTCCCGCTTCATTGGTCAATAATTTATAGAAAGATTAAAATAATTAAATCTTTAACTACAACGAGTGTGTTATTTAGTTGAATTTTCACTTTTCAAGTGCTAAGATTGTCCAAAAGATAGTGAAATTGCCATAGAGAAATGTGGACATGTGCGTTTAGAGTTGTATAATAGATATTTGTGTTGAGATATTGACATCCACAAGTTAGAAAAATTTTAAAGAAGCAAAGAATTTAGATCATTATAATAATTTAAGTCCGTTCGAGATCAGACTCGGGTGGTGGCGCAGTTGGCTAGCGCGTAGATCTCATAGCTTTCTGAGTAATCCTGAGGTCGAGAGTTCGAGCCTCTCTCACCCCATAGAATTTTTACCCTCTCAAGATTCTACTTTTTGGCCAAATTCATGCAATTTAAATTATTTTTTCATTAGTACTTTTATCTTCACATCTACTGGATTTTTTAATTTATAGTCATTAATAACCTACAAAAATCAATATTTTGGGAACCAAAACGTATTTGTTGCAAATTTGTAGGAATTCAAGAATAGCCATCCAATTTGACCGCGATGATATAAAGCCACTACTCATGTAGATTAAAAATTGATAAAAATTTCAAATCGAAATCAATAATTAATCTTAACAATACATTTAATGAGACCTACAACTTTTCAAGTTATCCATTTCATCAACTTTTACCAAAATTTAACTAAAATTCTAGTTTTAATTCATACCAAACAAGAACATAATGAAACATAAACAAGTAGTCTTCATTTGATCGAATTCCGACATCAACATGCATAAAACAATAATAATAATAATAATA